ATCTCCCTAGAGTTTCATTCCCCCTCCCCAGCTGTGTTAAATAAACCCAGTTTATATTTTTGAAAATACATGTCTTTTATTTGACATCAGGAAGCGGGGGCAAGGGAAGGGTAAGTGGAAGGACGAGAGGGAGGAATGGGGCATGAGCACCCGGTGGGGAGGACCGGTGTGGCTCTGGGGGCTCCTCGGGGTGGACGCTCTCCTGCAGGGCCTCCTGATAGACCCCTGATGGACCCCCGGGATGGCAGCCTGCAGACAGTGCAGCCAGGCTGCTGTCAACGTGTCCACGAGACGCAGCAGAGTCCCCAGGGGCAGGTCTGGTTCCATGTTGCAGGGTGCTGTGGTGCCCCTAGTGATGCCAAGCAGAGCACTCTGAGACACAAATGCTTTGCTGTCCCTCAGCGAGGTGGACCAGCAAGCAGAGAAACCTGAGAACTGTCTGTCCAGGATGGGGGGTTGGGTCCCTTTAAGCACGGACCTCGGATAGTCTGAGGCGGCAGTCTTATACACTAAATCCAACCCTGATGCCCTGCCGGCACTGGTTCCAGCCAGCCTTATCTTCGATTCAGGGTCCACTCAATGTGGACACACTATTTCGAATAAGAAAAACGCTATTTTGAATTAGTTTTTGGATCTAGATGCGTTATTTCGAATTAGCTTATTTCAAATTAACTAATTTGAAATAAGAATTCAAAATAATGCTGTAGTGTAGATATACCCCTACTCTCACCCCTCAGCTTTGAACTATGGAGCCTTTTAAAGGCCACTAGCAAGCCAGCAGTGGAGTCAGCTGGCCCCAATCTGCCTGAGCCAGCTCCTTACTAGCTGCTCTTTAGTCTATCTACAGTCCCCAGGGTTTTCATCAAGTGCGTGTCAGTGGCTGCAGCATATCTGAGGCATCAGAGTACACAGGTGTACCCTTACCTGTACAACTGGCTCGTCAAAGACCTGTTGAGGTGAAAGGTCCAGCACAACATGTGTCTCCTCTTGGATATATGCCCCTGGCTCAGCCTGCTCATAAACGAGAAAAAGTCCCTCTTGGTGCCTATCCAGAGAATAGAGTTCACAGGAATGGTTTTGGACTCATCTACAGCCAGAGCATCACTCCCTCAACAGAGATTCAAGGCCCTTGGAACCCTCATTCGACAACTCACAGTTGCCCCCATGACCACATCTCAAGTGTGTCTGCAGATCCTGGGGTATACGGTGGCCTGCACATATGTAGTGCCCCAGGCCAGACGCAGAATAAGGCCCCTCCCACTGCGGTTGGCCTTCATGTATGCACTGGTAGAAATATCAAATGGTACAAAGCAAGGATGTGTCCTTGTCCTCTCCTGTTCAATATCTACTTTGCAATGATACTGTTAGTTGCTTTTAAGGACTGCACATTGGGCGTACCTATTCAGTTTCAAACAGATGGCAGTATTTTCAATCTCCAGAGACTCCAGGCTCACACTAAAGTGGTTACTACAATTATTCGTGATCTTCTGTTTGCCAATGACTGTGCATTGCTGGCTCATTCAGTGAAGGATGCACAGGAGCTTTTTGATTGCTTTGTACTTCTGCTCACCATTTTGGACTCACAGCGAGCCTCAAGAAGACAGAAGTTATGCCTCAGCACTCTAGTGATTACTGTTGTTGGTACAGTCCTTAAGGCTGTTGACAAGTTCTGCTACCTGGGAAGTGTACTGACTTCTAGCATAAATGTGGATCATGATGTATCTGCTCAACTAGCCAAAGCCAGTGCTGTCTTTGGAAAACCTTCCAAATGCCTATGGAATAACCATGGTATTAAACTCCATACCAAGACAGTGGTTTATCAGGCAATTGTCCTGAATGTCCTGCTGTATGCCTTGGAGTCATAAGCCAGTGCTGTCTTTGGAAAACCTTCCAAATGCCTATGGAATAACCATGGTATTAAACTCCATACCAAGACAGTGGTTTATCAGGCAATTGTCCTGAATGTCCTGCTGTATGCCTTGGAGTCATAGACAATATATCGCCGCCATGTTTTGAAGCTCGATCAGTTCCATATGTGTTGTCTGAGGAAGATTGCCCATGTGAACTGGTGGGACAAAATTCCTAATACGGAGGTTCTTAAACTGTGTGGTGTCACGGGCATGGAAGCAATGCTTATGAACAAACAGTTTCACTGGACTGGTCATGTTATGAGGATGGATGATACATGGATACCAAAGAAGGTCTTCTATGGCCAGCTCTCTAAGCGCTCTATCAGTGGTCAATATAAGCTCTATAAAGACATCTTAAAGGCCAATACGAAGATTGTCCTGGCAACAAACCATTGTACAGACTCTTAATTGCTTTGAGAGTCAGCGTATTCAGGCATTGTAGGAAAAGCAGAGGATCTGAAAAGAACATACAGCACCTGCATTTGGCAGCTTTTTATGTGACATCTGTAATCAGCTCTGCTGATCAAGGATTGGTTTAGTTGCTCACCAAAGACGTCATAGAAGAAGATGAGATCCATCAGCTGACAGCTCACTCCAAGGTAGAACACTCTCTGGAAAGAGTGGTGATGGTCCTGAACCAAGTTCTGTCCACTGTGGCCTGGTGAGCCTGGACCAGGTCATGTCATGCATTCCATACCATCCTCAGCCACATTTGAGAGAGCTGGTAGCCGACGCTTCAGACTGTAGTTGGGGAGCCAGGGCATGTGTTCGGCTCAAGAGAGATCACTGCACATAAACATGAATGAGCTAAGAGTGATCAGGAACATTGCGAGGTGTTTCTCCCAGGCAGGGTGGTATGCATCCTCACAGACAACAACACCATCATGTACTTCATAAACAGACAAGGAGAAGCTCACTTTCCAGAGCTAGGCAGAGAGGCATGAAGCTCTAGGAGTTTTGAATCCTGCATATTGAACTGGAAGCCCATCACCTCCCAAGGGTTGGAAACACAATCACATATTGTCTCAGCAGAGAGTTCTCATCTCACCAGGAGTGGGCTTTGCACCCTGAAGTGGCTACCTCCCTTTTCCATGACTCCGGCTCTCCCCTAGTGGACTTGTTTGCAATGAGACACAATGCAAAGTGCAGCCAGTTTTGCTCCTGGTTTGGCCTCGAGCAGGGCTCTCTTTCGAATGCATCCTGTACAGGTGGTCAGAAAGTTGTCTCTACACCTTCTCTCTGTTTCCCCTCATTGGCAAGGTCGTGAAGAAGGTCTAGAGGGAACAAGGCAATGGTGATCCTCATTGCACTGGCCTGTCCTCAGCAGCATTGGTTCGGGGTGCTGATGAACCTGGTGTCCCCCCCACTCAGGTGGCTGCTGCTGAGGCTGGAACTGCTTTCCTAAGATCAGGGATGCTTGCTCCATCTGAACCTCAGCTCACTTCACCTGACGATGTGGTTCATCCATGGTTGAACCCCCAGGAGCTAGTGTGTTTGGGTGATGTTCAGAGGGGTCTCCTTGAGAACTGAAAGCCTTCAACATGATCACCTATGCTGCCAAATAGATTTGGTTCTCTTTATGAGTGCAGCAGCAGCAGGTAGTCCCAGCTGCAGCTTTCCTTCAGGAAATCCTAGACTACTTGCTAGGAAAGTGGCAAGGCCTTTTTCTGACCACCACTAAGGTCCACCTGGTGGCCATTTCCACATTTCATCTGCCCATACAAGATCGTTCGGAGTTTTAACATGATGCTACCTCTCAGTTCCTGAGAAGCATGGAATGCCTCTCCATTGAGGTCAGAGACCCTCTTCCACAATGGAACCTGAACCTGGTCTTGGCACAGCTCACAGGCCCTTCGTTCGAGCCCCTGGCAACGTTTCCATTGTCACTGCTCTCCTTCTAGTTAGCCTTCCTGATTGCCATCACGTTGGCTAGATGAGTGTCGGAGCCTTTCCCTGACATCGGAACTGCCTTATACCCAGTTCTTCAAGAACAAGGTCCAGCTGCGGCCTCATCATGCCTTTTTCCCAAAGGTGGTTTCCAACTTGCATGTGGACCAGGACATTTTTTCTGCTGGTCTTCTACCCCAAGCCTCATTGGAATAATGAGGAAAGGCACCTCCATGCACTGGACATGTCAGATGCTGGTCTTTTACCTGGAGAGGACACATGCCTTTTGCAGCTCCATCCAGCTATTCATGGCCTATGCAGAACATGGAAAGGGATCTCCCATTTCTTCCCAGCGATTGTCTAAATGGATCACTTCCTGAATCCACATGTGCTATGAGATGGCAGGGGCCCAGCCACTGAGTTGATTAGTACTCACTCTACCAGGTTCAGGCTTCCTCGGGTGCTTACCTTGTACATGTCCCAATCCAGGACATTTGTAGGGCAGCAACATGGTCATCCGTACATACATTCATATTTCATTATGCCATCATGCCGTAGTAGGCCAGGGAGAATGCTGCATTTGGCAGGGCTGTACTGCCGTCTGCATTCTCATAACTCCTACCCACCTCCGCAGACACTGCTTATAGTCACCTACACTGAATGGACACGAGTAAGCACTCAGAGAAGAAAAGACAGTTACCTCTTCTGTAACTGGCATTGAGATGTGTTGCTCATGTCCATTCAACCTCCCAACCTCCTCCCTTCCTTCAAAGATCCAGCAAGAAGGAACTAAGGAGGGAGGGGCCAGGATCGCCTTATATAATACTGAATATATAGTGCCTTATACAGTACTGCACCCCTAAGGGTACTACTTAGGGAAAACCATCTGGCACTGGTGCATGTAGAAGGCACACACACCTATGTTGAATGAACATGAGCAATACATCTCAAAGAACACTTGTTATAGAACAGGTAACTGTCTTTTCTGATTACACTGACAGTAAGGAGAAGGAGATAAAATTATGATGGAAAAGTTATTTCTATTAGAGTTAAAATACTCACAGGGATTTTCATCTTAATTTGATAGGCACCTGCCAGTTGCAAGGGGATAAATGTAGTTATACTTATATCTTTATTTATTCCCTCTTAAAATGGAGTCCAAGATGTTGTTCAGTAACTAATAATTCTTTCTTTAAATTTCAGGACTAATTGTACATGAAGGTGCATCAGTTTACAGAGTGTTTAAGCGCTGGAGGGCTGTTAATCTTCACTGGGATGTATTAAATTACGATAAAGCTACAGACATAGAAGAGAGCAATCGAGGAGCATCTTCACCGGGTAGGACATTGTGGTTACCACTAACTGCATTTAGAAACAGAAATTTAATCCATCCAACACAGTTAACCTCTCCAAGATTTCAGTGTGGCTATGTATTGTTACATCTGTTTAATCGAATGAGACCTCATGAGGATTCATCAGAAGATAACAGTTCTGGAGAGGTTGTGATGAGAGTGACTTCAGTGTAAAGATTATGCTCACTGTGCTACACAAATACGGATAATGTGCCCTGGACTTTACAGTATTTAGGAATGTAGTTGCAATGAATGGTGATACCACAGCACTTCTAAAAATATTTACAACTTTTTAAACATTTAATGCTTTTTATATGATCAATTGAATTGCAAATACATTTTTCTGAAAAAAAGTTGTTGCTTTCTTTTTTTATAGTTTGGTATATTACATAGTTTGGTCATTTTGTACTTGAAATTTATAAAAATATAATTTAACTGTCATTGCCTTGAATAATGAGGAAAGCAATTGTTTAAGCTCCAAAAAACCCTGTCATAGCTTCAAGCGTATTTTTTCCAATCTATATCATTTTTCAAATGTGTACATTGAGGAAAATAGATGACTGATATCTCTGTGACTAACTCTAAGCATATTAAGTGCATCATTTAATATATAAACTATTTAGTAGTTTGGTCAGACATTTCAGAAAAATGATATATAGGGGCTTGTTCAAGACGGATTCACTGTTCCCACCCCACTTTTTTCTCTGGGCATGGTGTAGCAAGCTCACTTCATCTAGTGCCCTCTGCCACAGCTGGTCCAGCCCTGCAGCAGTATATTTCTTCATGTGATGTAACCTTCTAGCCAGATCATTTACAGTCCTCCTTTTTTGGGGTAAAAAAACAAATCCAACTAACTAATGTACAACAGAATTATACTAAGTTTGTGGTCCAAATCTAGACATACTAGTCCTTTGACTCTTGGTACTGTTTCTGGGGAGCCTGTAGGGTAATCCAGGCTCCTCCTCTCCTCTTCATTCTAGCCCAAGAACCCTATAGATAGCATGCAAGGTATATATATTCAGACCTTCCCATCCCTTCTGCCCATGCTTCTTTTACCTCAGCCTATCAGCAGGCCTTTCCTGCAGTCCCTTCCTGAGTTCAGAGTGTACCTAAAAGCCTCTCAGGGTATGTCTGCACTATAGCACTAATTTGAACTGACTTAATTAGAATTAGTTAATTCAAAATCTAATTCGAATCAGTGCATCTAGACCTAAAAACTGAGCCGAATTAGTGTTTTGCTAATTCGAAATAGCATGCCCACACTGAGTGGACCCTGAACCGAAGTTAAGGCTGGCCAGAAGCAGTGCCAGCAGGGCATCAGGTTAGGACTTAGAGTGTGGAGCTGCTGCCTCAGGCTAGCCGACGGCTGTGCTTAAAGGGACCCGACCCCCACCCCAGACAGACAGTTCTCAGGGTTCCCCGCTTGCTTGTCTAACTCGATGAGGGACAGCAAAGCAGTCCTGGCTTGGAGTGCCCTCACTCGGCACATCACAGCACTCGGCCATCAGTCTGGCTGCACTTGCCACAGCCTGCCATCTGGGGGGGTCAATCGGGGGGCTGTCAGGATCCAGGAGGCCCTGCAGGAGAGCTTCCACCCCAAGGAGCCTGCAGAGCCACCTCAGTCCTTCCCATCGGGGGCTCATGCCCCATTCCTCCCTCACCTCCTTCCACTTACCCCTCCCTAGCCCCCTTCCTGATGTAAAAAATAAAGGACACGTGTGTTCAAAAATAGAAAATCTCTTTATTTACCAAAATTGGGGCAGGGGGATTAACCTCTGGGGAGACTGGGAAAAGGAGGTGGGAGAGGGGAAGAGAAAGGGTGGAAGAGGGGAGGGGGAAACCTGGGAGGAGGGAGCTGGAAGGGGGAAGCCAGGGGAAGTCTCTTTATTGAACAAAACTCGGGGAGAATGGGAAAGGGAGGTGGGAGAGGGGAAGAGAGAGGGTGGGAGAGGGGAGGGCAACTACAATGATCAGGGGTTTGGAACAGGTCCCATATGAAGAGAGGCTAAAGAGACTGGGACTTTTCAGCTTAGAAAAGAGGAGACTGAGGGGGGATATGATAGAGGTCTATAAAAGCATGAGTGGTGTGGAGAGGGTGCATACAGAAAAGTTCTTCATTAGTTCCCATAATAGAAGGACTAGAGGACACCAAAGGAAAGGAATGGGTAGCAGGCTTCAAACAAATAACAGAAAGTTCTTCTTCACAAAGCAAATAGTCAACCTGTGGAATTCCTTGCTGCAGGAGGCTGTGAAGGCTAGAACTAGAACAGAGTTTAAAGAGAAGTGAGATAAAGTCATGGAGGTTGGGTCCATGGAGTGCTATTAGCCAGGGGGTAGGAACGGTGTCCCTGGCTTCTGTTTGTGGAAGACTGGAGATGGATGGCAGGAGACAAATCACTTGGTCATTGTCTTCGGTCTATTCTATGACCGCGTGAGCCCCCAGGATGTGGTGCAGGGCCTCATAATGAGGGCATGCCTCCAGGTCGCCCCTAGCTGGGAGGCCCTGGAGTAGGCCTGCCGCAGGTCTTTAATCTTGCAGCGGACCTGCTCCTGGGTCCGCATGTGGCCTCTGGTGGCCAGGCTGTCAGCCATGTTGCTGTAGACAGCTGTGTTCCCGTGGCTAGTGCGGAGATTGTGGACATTGGAGGCCTCCCCCCAAACCTCGATGAGGTCCACGATCTCTGCACTAGACCAGGAGGGCGCCCGCCTCTTGTGGCCCTGGGCAGTCTCCTGGGAGCCGCCAGTCTGGTCCTGGGAAGAGGCGGAGGGCTGGGTGGCAGCGGGTGGCTGGCTCATGCCGTGCCAGGTACAGGGTCTGCTGGCTGGATGCTTGCAGGCTTGCAACTGGCATGGGCACTGTAGCCAGACCATGCCCCTTTAAAGGCTCTGGGGCCGGAAGGGGGGCAGAAAAGTTTCCCTGGTTTGGCCCAGAGTGGCCACAAGGGCAAGCTGGGAAGGGCTAGCCTCCAACTAGTTCAAATTAAGTGGCTACACAGCCCTTAATTCGAACTACTTAATTCGAACTAGCCCTCGTAGAATGAGGTTTACGTAGTTCGAATTAAGCGCTCCTCTAGTTTGAATTAAATTCGAACTAGCGGTTTGTATGTATAGCCACTATTAAAGTTAATTCGAACTAACGGCTGTTATTTCAAATTAACTTTGTAGTGTAGTCATACCCTTAGGTACTCAGGAATCAATGTTCCTTCAGGATTGTGGCTCGTAGGAATCATCTCTGGAGTTCTCCAAAAAATCAAAACCAAAAGCACAAACTTAAATTACTTCTACTATTCCTTGGCCTATTCTTCACCAGTGTGCCCCAATACTCTTCTCAGCTAAACACCAACACCCCTGTGACTCCTTGTAGTCACAACTTCTTCTTCGAGTGGTTGCTTATGTCCATTCGAATGAAGCGTTTTTTCCCTAGCGGTACCCGTCGGACCACAGGTCGCCCCCTGGAGTGGTGCCACTAGAGCGGAGCGTAAGTACCCCTTCCGGCCCTCCCCCTCCTCAGTTCCTTCTTACTGTCCATGACGGTCATGGGAGCTTGCTGTCTCCTACAAATCCCAGCTAGTTACTTGTTGCCTGTTGGCAGTTCCTTGTTTGTTAAGTAGTTGTTAGGTACTTAGTAGATAGTTTTCACCCTTTCTCCTCCCTCCCCCTGCTCCCCCGGAGGATGGTGATGCCAGGCCCGCAGGGCTTCAAACCTTGCTCAGCTTGCACGTAAACCATTGGGGCACAAGTTCCTATACTTGAAATCTGTAGAGCGGCCACATGGGCCTCTATCCACACGTTTAAAGAGCATTATGCAGTCACCCAACAGACCAGGAAGGATGCTGCTTTGGGTTCCGCTGTTTTAGGCTCAGTTCTGTTAAAAAAAAAAGAAAAAAAAAGGATGAGATTGATGTATTACGTGCTGTAAATACCTCTCCTGCTTTCCTGTGTTATGGTAGGTTCCGTTGTATTGTTAAATTAAATTTCTGTTTGTTACGTTACGTAACACGTGTAGGTGTCTTTTCTCGATAAAAGCTGTCTCTGACCCCACCTCCGATGGGGATAGCTTGGAAGTCACCTCATTTGAATGCACATGAGCAACCACTCGAAGAAGAAAACAGGGTTACTTACCTGTAACTGTTGTTCTTTGAGATGTGTTGCTCATGTCCATTCGATTCCCCCCCTGTCTCCCCTGCACCGGAGTTTTTGGCAAGAAGGAACTGGGGAGGGGAAGGGCCGGCAGGGGTACTTATACTCTGCTATAGCGGCACCACTCCAGGGGGCGACCTGCCAGCCCAACAGGTACCACCGGGGGAAAAAAAATGCTCCAGGAGCAATACACCTCATTTGAATGGACATGAGAAATACATCTTGAAGAACAAAAGTTACAGGTAAGTAACCCTGTTTTCTGTGATGGGCCTCAAATTGGAACTAACTCCCTTCCTGTGGAATTTCCTAGTTCTCTTGACTCTTATATCAAACCAACCTCAGAGAGAAGGAACTCATAAATGCTTCTCTTTTGGGTTTCCTTTTCAAGTAGATTTGGTAATAAACCTATTTATTACCCTGCAGGTACCAGCAGGTAGATTATTTGAACTTTCAAACGCCTGTTAATTCTTGCAAAACCATTTAGCTTTGAATTCCATCATAGGGCTAGATCTCTGCCAATCTTAATGACATGGTCTATAAATGTCCCTTTAATTCTTAATATGCCAAGAAAAATTACTAATATTTTTATAATTGCACAGTGTGTTCTTTTAAGAGTAAAATATATGTCCTATGAAGCATCATTAGCACACAAAAGAAAGTTAACAGGACAATTTCTTGAAATTCTGTGAACGCATGTAATGCTTTCATCCCGGCTGCACTCAGGGTATGTATACACTACAGCGCTATTTTGAATTAACTTAATTCAAAATAGTTAATTTGAATTAAGCTAATTCAAAATAACGCATCTAGACATAAAAACTAATTCAAAATAGTGTTTTTCTAATTCAAAATAGTGCATCCACATTGAGTGGACCCTGAATCGAAGGTAAGGCTGGCCAGAACTAGTGCTGGCAGGGCATCAGGGTCAGACTTAGTGTGTGGGGCTGCTGCCTCAGGCTATCTGAGGTCTGTGCTTAAAGGGACCCGAACCCCCATCCCGGACAGACAGTTTTCAGGTTTCTCTGCTTTCGTCTACTTTGCTGAGGGACAGCAGGGCATTTGTGTCTCGGAGTGCTCTGCTTGCCCTCACTCGAGACACCATGGCACTCTGCAACATGGAACCAGACCTGCCCCCGGGCACACTAGTGCATCTCATGGGTTCGTTGCTATCAGCCTGGCTGCACTTGCTGCAAGCTGCCATCCGGGAGCTTCATCGGGG